CAAATTGAATAAATAAAACTATTTCAGAGTTAGATATTTTTGTATGATATATCTATAAAAACTGTATATCAAAACAAACAAAAAATGCATGATTTTGAATCAAATTTATCATTATTAAAAAAAATCAAATTATATTTAAATTTTGTTTGAATTTTTAGGAAAAATAAGTATTATTAAAATTTATTTAGTTTAAAATTTCAAAAATAACATTTTATTGATAGATTCATATATTATAGCTAGAATAATTTTAGAAAATGGCACCAAAAAAATGCTAAAGATTTGATGCAAAAATTATATATATATATATATTCTAATTGATTTTTGATGAATCTTTTAAAAAAAATGTTAATCTATAGATTTCTAAAATATGAATGTTTTTTGCAAAACATTATTAGGCAATGCAATGCTAGATTAAATGAATTTATGAAACAAATTGAAAATTTATGATTATTTTCCATGCATGTGTACGTAAATTAGGCAAATAATGAAATATTTGATTTCATTTATATGACATACAATGTGAATGAAATTTTTCTGTTTGAAAAATAAAAAAGAACGTTGATAAATGCAAAAATAAATCAAAATCTTCAATCATGATAAAATCTTTGAATAAATTAAAGGATATATTATGAATGATATAATAATTTTATCTTAAAATAAGAGTGTGTAGATTTAATCAAGAAATATAAATTTAAAGGAAATAGGATATTATTTTGTTTCAAAAAATATTTTTAAATCATATGAGTTCATTTGATAGCACATATTACATTTTTTAAGTTTAATTTGCAATAAATTCTATTGAAAAATAAATATTGCCATTATTTTATATCATACAAAATGAAATTTTATGTCTGAATTATGTGTAAATTGATTTTATTGTTTTTGTGAAAAAGTTGAAATAATTTGAGTTTAAATCATATAAGATCATTAAGAGCTTCATGATTTTTTTGCCTTAATTCAGTTTTCTGTGGGCAAGGTGAACAATTTTATGTAATATTAAAGTAGAATACATAAAAGATCTTTGAACATACTTTTTGAAAAATTCAAGATAATTGACTTTCATGTTTTTTTTCAAAAATGATTTTTAAAAAAAATATTTTGCAAAATATGATTTTATTCTATAAATCCATTATATGATTTTTGGAGAAAATAAATTTTTTTGTTGGATCACATGAATGATGATCATGAGTGTGCATTGGACGATTGCAAATCAACAATCATATATATGTTTAAAGTTGAAGATGAACGCGTTTGTTCAAAATATATTTTGCCAAGTCAACTACAAAAGTTGAATATATAATTGCAACATAGCATCAAAAGAGTTTTATTTGCTAAATAATCAAATCACTAGGATATATATTGAAATATGTTGTTACTTTTTACTTTAATAATCAAAACGCCATCATCCTACATCAAATCAATAGATATATAATTTGAAAAAACATATTGATATCAACATTTTTTTCAATATAAAATAAATTTTGACTACAAATATTGAGTTAAATATCAATACAGATGATGCATAAATCACATGTTTTACTTTATAATATCTGTATTTATCATGCTATTATTCAAATTTCTTCTAAAAAATACAAATAAACTAAATTAACAAATATGATATATATATATATATATATATATATATATGCTAGTTATACCTCATACTCAAAAGTGAGATCTTTGATTGTTCGATACCATGCAAGGACATACCAAACGGACAATATAGTCTTTGTGGGCATAAGTAATCAGGGAGAAGTACTGCTAATAGTGGAAAGTTTAGGCTAGGGTGAGAGATAATTGGCGTTAAGTGAGGTATAACTAGCCGCTATATATATATATATATATATATAATTTATCATGTTTTGGTTTTTTTAATTAGCTTCAGTTTATGAAATAACTTGTGTAAATTTTTTAAAAACTTATTACAAAAATATCATATTATAATAAAGTTTGCTATTTTCAAAATAAACAAATATTGCTAATATGTTTAAAAAATATATTGTCATTTTGATAATTGTAATTTGTTGAATGGAAATCATGTTTTTTTTAAAGATATTTGGTTATGGTTTCAATTTTCAAACACATAATTTTGTGTTTATTCTTTGTGTAATACTACAACAAATTTTTCTAAATTTATTATATATTCTATTGCAATTATAATACATTTATTTTGAATATAATTGAAAAAATTTAATTTTTAAAAACATGTATCAAAAAAATTAACATTAAAATGATAAAAGTTATTCATACATATGTATATGAGAATGTTTTTTTGTCTTAAAAATTCAAAAATATGAATCATTGTCAATACTAAATATATTTAGAAATATAATCTTGAGATTATTTGCAATTAAAAATTTCCCATAGTGATGATGGCACCCTTGTGCAACACAAATAGCTTATTGGGATCCATCGCATGTCATAGACTCCATTGACGTCACACGTGACTCATGTACTAATATCAAACTATGATTTCTAACTTTAAAAAAGTTGTTAAGAGTATATACAGCAAGGCCAGAGTAGAAACAAATAGGAACACATGAGTAGAGGCGGCAAATTGTTGCAACCTTTTTTTGCAGTGAGAGAAACGATTGCAACTATTGATGAATTTTGAGACATTCTCTTTGAGAATTCTATCATTTTGCAAATGTAGTATCACACGCCTATGCAATTGTAACATATCTAGTAACTTGAAGTGTCATCAATCTAGTGCTCTTGGCATTAGCTAGGTATTGATATTTAGAATTTTTTTATTGGTTAGTGGATGTTTGACTTGTATTGTGTTTTTCAGCCTTTTGACCCTTGGAATCCCACAAGCGGATGTTAGTATGCTCAATTCAATTATTGCACAATTTCAGAATTGAGATATGAAAGTCTAGGTTCACATTATTCAATTTCCCACGAATGTGACAACTTTTACTCAACAAACCATTACAAGATAAAATTGGTGATGCATTTGAATGAATGCATTGTCTCATGAAAGAGACAAGGTAATATCTACAAAGAACATACACGTGCCGACATATTGAACCCTTAGCATATAGTTGCAAAAACTTTGTTTGGAACTTGGTGACGACGTGCCGGTTGGGTTTGAGTAAATTATCTGTGTTACGAAGTGTTCTCATCAAGTAATTTTTTCTAATAGTTAGTTTTCTGTAGCATTCAGTTTTTTTTCCAAACTATACACTCAGGTCAATACACATCTTCACAAAAGCATTCAATGTTTCTTTTTCTAAAACATTACTTATAACATAATTTGAATACATATTTTTTTCATAATATCAAAACCTAAAATGTTTGAACTATCAAATCATCATGATCATAATGCACAGAAAAGTATGAAGAAATGATAAATAACATTAGGAATCAACGGAAGTTTGTACAGGGCCCAAGTATTTATTCACCGCAGCATGTTGATCCGTGATTAGTAGTGGTACCAACTTCATGTTCTCGAGTTGTAGAGAAAATAAAAAGAAGTTATTACCATAGATAGTTTCAGATACAGTTTGGTTTTAACTCCTAACAATTGTTGTATGCAAGGAAGAAATGATGTAATAATAATAAATAAAATCCATTGTAGAATTCTCAAAAATGTTCGTTTCTATCATTTTTTTATATCCTAATCTTTATCTTTGAGTTTTTTCAAAAGTTATTGGTTCACATCAATTCGTAAGTCATGCAATTATCTTCCCACCTAACAGCATGCTAATTGTTGAGTTTAAGCGATTTGACATCGATGTGATCATTGCAAAGATTCAAATTTGGTTATCCTTTGACATGACAAGTTAGTAGTTGTTGAGTGAACAAGTCGGTCGGAAAACTAGGAGTGAAGGAGGTTCAGCGGATAGCCAGAAGAGCACGCTTGCGCAAATAGGAAGACGGAGAATTTGACCACGTCTGTATTCAAAGGAGAAGGTTTGAAGACAAACCATTCGTCACAGGATGGAAGTGACAGCGAGCGAACCGTCGGAGTTCCATGAACTGTAAGGTGTTCAATTGTACGTTTCGGCCATTTCTCTTTCTTCTGAGGAACATTTTCTATCTGGCGAACATTCCCCCGGGTATTCAATTAGCATAAACCATTGAAACTCTCGACAGCCCGTAGCACATGCCCAATTTCTTCTTGACTTTTGGGAGGTCCCCTTGCAGAATGGAACAATGAATTATCACCGACTAAAGATAATACGTTCATCGTGTACATTCTTCAAAGACAACTTCACCGTCATTCCAGAGATTCTCTTGAGAGCGGAAAATTCGTCCAGACATTGGAATTTGTCCGGTCTAAACTGCAGGAAGGAACACTGAGGAACACTTGAATGAACCGAAGTCTTCCTTCAAACTTGGTATTAAAGTAAAGGAGAGTTTCGCCGATTGTCGATGTCGGAGTGGCACTAGGCGACTGAATACAACTAGTCGAACGTGCGCCACAATTGGCCGGTCCGAGCTCTGCTGGCATGGTGACCGGTCATCGCATTGCCCTCCAGTGTGGCTCTTTCCACTACAGACTGTACGTAGAACGTAGACCGGGATCTTTTCTGATGTCCTCGTTCTACAGGACATCAGCATGGGCAGGGGGGCCGGGCAGCGAAATGGAAATGGAAATACTGTGCATGGCCCGGCTACTTTACAGAAAGAGCCGGTAAACGGCCCGCCCTACCTACCCGGGAGTTTTGACCATCGAATTGTCTCCTGGCGTTTACTGGACTTTCGATCCCGGCAGAACGAATCTGCAGTCGGTCAGCGACACAGGGGGGGCCGGGTGCCGGTGCTTGAGACCCCCTGGCATGGGGAGACAAACTGGGGATTTGGACTCGGGGGAAGTCGAAGGTCATCCGCTGCCCGGGAGGAAAAATGCCCTCCCCTGGCTCGTGGGGGAACGCGAGAGGGGGCCTAGAATCGGAAAGTCGTCCGGTCATGTCCGGGGACGGTGGACGTGGGGGGAACTGGCGACGGTTATGTCGAGCCTCGGGCCCTCGGCCATCGACTTCTGCTGCCATGTTAGACTGAAGCTACGAATTGAGGCGGTGTTTCGGGGGATCCGCTCCTGACCAACAGTAGCAGCAGCAGATCCTACTAGCACCCATCGTCGACTCGAGGGGAGCGACGACGACGGCTAGTAACTCAGCCACTCGATCATTCACCCACTCTTCCGCTCGCTCCCCTTCGCTTTCCAGATACATCCTCCTCGTTTGCTGATCGACCAGGAATTCTGTCCCGAACCCAGCCAAAAATACCAACTTCGATTTGACTCTGCTCGTGCTGGGCCTGCACAGCGCTGGACTCCGATCGAATAGAAGAATTTATTCCGCAGGAACAAATCGGTGCGAAAATTACTAGCAGAGCGAGAGAGAGAGAGAACGAGATAGAGCACGTCGGGTGTGGGCTCTCTGTTATGCTGTGGATGGTGGTGGTGGTGTTGCTTGCAGGCATCGAGGTGCGCCGTCATGGGATTGATTCACTGATCCAGTGATGTTTGCCGGGGGCCTCTGCACAAGCGTACATAGATCCAGAAGCCGAATCTCGAGGAATTCGGGTTGTGTTGATCGAGGTGCGAGCGCCTGCAGGTCGGGCAAAAGTTTCCAATTTGGCCAAGGAGTTTGGCTGTTTGAGTCTGGCGGAAGACGCAAGCAGGGAACGACGAGGGACGAGAACAGGGCACGGCTCCAGGCAAGGGAAGGGGCAGAAAAGTAGAGAAGAGAAGCGTCGGTGATTGAGGCAGGTACGAAGGAGAGCAATCGCTGTGAAGCTAGAGTTCAGATCCGATGGACGAAGGAATGTCCGTCCAATTGCCGTGTGCCAGGGAATTTGTCAAGCTGATGGTCATGACGATGCAGGGTCAGACGGACTAAAGTAGCTTTCCTTCGTCCGAACACGATTTTTCAGTGGATTTGCCTTTAGACTCTCTTGCTTTCGGGTCTCAGGCCTTTTGTGACCAGAACTCCACGTCTGAGCGATCGGACGGGCCTCCAGCCGGAACACAAGGTCCTCCATTGGATTGGCATGTTGCAGGTACGCAACTCGTTCAGAAAGCCAGCGAGAGCTGCTGATTTAACGAGAATTCTGTTGAGCAGCTCGTCGGCAGGCTCTGGCAGATCGAAACCTTAGTGCTCCTGGCTCGTAGAATCCATGTGATCTCGGTGGGGGGCTCGAAGAGCAAGAAGCGAAACGAGGAGCAGAGGAAGGACGGGATTGGAAGATGTTGACGAATAGTCGCAATGGCAGGAAGCCCAAGCTGTTATCGGTGGTGGCATTGGCCGCCGTCCTGTTCTGCCTCGTCACTGCGAGGCTGCTCCGGGTGCCTTACATAAGTGGAAACTACGGCAATTCGCCGGACATGGCGACGATTTTCCAGACAGCTCTGTCAGTCTCCACGTCGTGGTCTGCACTGGACGAGGACTCGGTGCTGAGCGGAGCAGCACAGGCCACGAGGCCGTCCGTGGAGGAGCTGATCAGTGCACTGCGAGAAGCCACGCAGAAAGCTGCCAGGGGCGAGTACTTCCTCATGGATTTGACGGGGGAGGAGCGCGAGAGGTGGAACCGCGACAACTCCTGTCAAAGCCGGCTGGAGCTCAAGGCCATGTACAACCGCAGGAAGTACGCCCCGGATGTGGAAGAGGACGATGGGCTCTGGGATGTGGTGCTGGAAGAGTACGCCAAGCTGCACCGAGTGTGCATGCGCAGAGTGGGTCGGGAAAATCTGAAAAACTACTTCGAGACGAGAAACAACAGCACGGGGTGCAACTTCGCCATCGCAGACTACTCGACCGGAGGGGGATTGGGGAACAAGATCCTGGCCATAAGCAACACCGTTCTCTACGCCATCCTCACGCAGAGAGTGGTGCTCGTGCCCACCTCCACTCTGGTGCCGGAGCTCATGTGCGAGCCCTTCGTGGGCTCGTCGTGGGTCCTGGATTCCGACCAGTTCCCCGTGCCTCCGTGGGAGAGCGCGCACCGCCACCTCTGGACGATTCACAAGGATGTGTACCAGGAGCTGGACCGCCTGCCATCGTCGCGCTTCGTGAAAGATCCTCCGCGGTCCAAGCTCTACTCGTCGTCCATGGAGGAGTACCAGTACCAGCCCGGCAGCAGATTCTTCTGCGACGTGGAGCAGGAGATGTTCAAGGGCGTGACTTGGCTGTACTTCACGGGGTGCCTGTACACGATCCCCAAGCTCTTCGCCATTCCTGCGTTCCGGGAGACTCTGGAGGAGCTGTTTCCCAGCAGGCTCGTGCTCACGCGCATGCTCAGGTCCGTCATGCTGCCGAACGATGTGGTCTGGGACAGGATTATGCGCGCAGATGCCGAACATTTGAAAGAGGCCGATCGTCGAGTGGGCTTGCAGATCCGGTTCCGACACAACATGAATGAGTATGTGGAGATGAACGCCGTGGTGAATGAACGAGTTCTCAAATGTGGACTGGACAATGGGTTCCTGCCATCGACCGTCGATCAGGATGGGACCATGGAATCTCACCTAGCGCAGAAGACCTCGGTCCATAATTCGAAATCCTCGTCCTCCGTCAAAGTCTTCGTGGCCTCGTTGTACCCAGGGTTCGCAGACTTCGCCAGAGAGAAGTACGTGTCTCATCCGAAATCGACCGGAGAGGTGGTGAGCCTCGTGCAGCTCTCGCACGAGATGAGTCAAACGTATGGGCTGGAGATCGACAGACAATCTCTTGTGGAGATCATAATGTTGAGCTTCTGCGATGATGTCGTGGTGACTCCTCTCTCTACCTTCGGAGGGCTGGCCCAGGCTTATGGGAATTTGGTTCCATGGATTTTGGAGTTTAGGAAAGAGGGGTCTCATCCTCCCTGTGAGCGAGGGCAGACGGTGGACGTGTGCTACCAGGAAGCAGATCAGCTGTACTCCTGTCCCTACAACCGTAGACTGGACAAGAAGAAAATTTCCGATGTCGTTCCTTACATTCAGAAATGTCTTACTGTCGATGCACTGGACGGGTTGCAGCTGATCACCAAAAACTTCAGCGGAACGGAGTATTACATATCTTCAGATTCCACCGTCGATCTTCTCGGGTGAATCCAAACGTCGGTTGTGCCGAGACTTGAACGAAACATTGAAAGAATCCAGGAACATGACGACCTTTTGAGAATGCCGTCTACATTCTTTCCTTGCCTGCAGCGGAGGCCTCAAGAAATTTTCAAGTGGTTGCGCAACGCGCGCAGCCTCTGAGCTCCGACCGGCATACTGGGATACCGATGGCTGAGCTCCACGATGATTGTCGTCGAGCTGAGCTGAGCTGTATTTTTGTACACTCCGTCCCATTATAAGATCTTAGCCCCGACAGCAATCGCTGAGAGCAAATCTACTCACAGAACGCCTTGTCTGCACTCTGCGACATGGACTTTCAACGGAATTGAGTTTAACTTAGCGCCTGTCTAGCGTATTCATCTGCCAATAAGGCCTTCCTTCACTTTGACGAGCAAACTGCAACTCCCCTATATGCCACCGAAATCCAACCCCCCGCGTGGCCATGAGTTCACCAGGTCGCTTGGAAATTGTGAAGACAAATTGTGAAAATTGCCACAGGTCTCTGAGATAGAGAGAGAGAGGGAGAGAGAGAGAGAATTTGTAATTATAAAGACCAAATTATAGATCTCTCTGCTTAGCTGCAGCTGAGCAGAGAGAATTTAGCTCAGGGTTTTGCAGCTTCTAACACCGATGAGTATTGTACTCATCTGGCCTTCAGAGCCGTAGGACCGAGACCCCGTGTCCTATTGAGCAGAGCGCTGCGCAGGACAGGGCTTGTTGAAGAAAGGTTCGACAAGAGTTTCGCAGCTGGAAGAGGAGGCACGGAAGGCTCTGAAGAACCGGGGCTGCTGCGGTGGCTCTCCCGATATCTACATCAGGTGCTGTCCCCGCAATAAAAAGAGCACCGGGCTTTGCCTTGTGAGGAATTGCTGAGGAAGCGAAGTACGAGGAGGAGGAGGAAGGAAGAGATTGTAATCATAAAGGAGTGCCTGCTATTGACTCCCCACGAATCATTACTGGTAGAAGAGGAGTAAGAAGCTTTCACAAATTGTGAGCCTATGAAGACCGTGCGCACTGGTTTTACGCGCAGGGTACAAGGTTGGGTGAAAATTGCGAGGAAGTGCCACATGAGAGAGGGAATCTCTGTCATGTATTGTGAGTTCTCGTTATGGCTGTAATTTTGCCTTCCAGTTTTCAGCGAGAAGTGTCCGCATTACACGATAGACTCTTGCTTGCATCAGACAGAATCCAAGGCAGGCTAAAATGCGCTTTGGGCTCTATCTGGTGGTAGAATTGCGCAGCTACAGAACTGCACGAAATTATAGCTTCTGAAGCTTAGAAAATTCAGAAGCTTCGAATTTTGAGCTTTGAATAAAGAAGAGTCACGTTGTCAGAGTCTCGATCCAAGTTTCAGCGAAGAGGTCAACTTCGTGTTTGTTAATGTGATATATGCCAATGTGACTTTTGCCTTCTTAAGTTCTGAGGAAAGCCAGGAGTGGTGCTCTAGAATGCTGATCACTTGCTGAATATGACATTCCGTCCAATGAACATCATTCAGGAGAAAGTCATTCACTTGCTCAAATTGCATCGGGCAGACCTCACAGTGCCCGCAGTTGTGCAATGGATCGTTCCTTGTAAATCAAATCCCGCGCGCCTTGAAACGCCTGAAGGCGCAGGCACAAGATCAAAGATCACGGTTTTCAGAAATTGTGTTGTTTTCCGAACCTCCGAATCCTAGATCCTGTACAAGGAGTGCATAGGCGATGCATCGCTCTTACTCTGTGTTGGAGATATTCCTACCTTCTGCAGAAATCTGGCTTCAAAGAAACAGAATCTTGCTCATTCCAGATCTTGACAAGAGCCCAGCTGAATACCCACAAAGATTGCAGAGATCTGACATGGATTACATTCCTTGAGCTTTGTTGGACATAAGAGATTCATTCAAGGCTGTCGTAGTTAGTGTGTAATCGTGGGCCGAAACCATGTTCTCATATTGTTTATTGAAGCTGATTGTGAAATAAAATGCTCACCCTCCTATCCGGAGGGGAGATGTCAACAGAAAAGATTCTCACCTGCTTTCAAGCTACAGAACCTTACACCGTCATCCGAGAACGGATATTCTCTCAGATATCTGCCCCTAGTAAACTGCTTTCGTAATCGAGAGATTATTGCGATTTGTGGTGCCAAGTGAACCCTCTATCCCTCATCCTTGGTCAATGACTGCTCCTTCCTTTCGTTAATAGACTTTCTTTCAAAGATAATCTGGAACGAGGGGATGATCGTTTCATCCCGTCGTTACAGATTTCGTTTGCAGATGAAGTCAATGCTGCTTTTGAGCTGGGCACGATCGTTACAGCAGTTAAATCTCGGTCTGAGGACTTCAGATCGCGTAATGATAGAGCCAGGGTTATTCTGCAGTGGAAGAGCACAATGCCACCGGAGCAGCATAAGATCGTCCGGAACTGTACTAAGAGCGTACAAATGTACCTGAGACAAATTTCTCCGTTGTACATTCTGGATTGTAGACTTAGATCTAATGATCTTTATTCCCACATATCACGACCACCTCAATTGGTATTACCGCGACAGACCGTGACTCCATCATATTCAACATTCTCAACATGCTGACATGTCGTCAGACGACACGGAGAATCAAGTGTTTTCCGCATGTTTGCAGGTCATGTGGGCTTTCCTTCATCATCCCATAGAAGATACTAAAGGAAGCGTGCCGAAGGTACGTTCTCCGTTCCCCTGTGAATCCACTTTCTCGTTCGCACTGAAGGCAATCTGATCCAGTACGTTCGTGCTCAAAGGTCTGTTCTCCACCACAGAGCGAGGTGAAGAAAACCTGAGTCACTCCACAAAAGAGTGTAAAGTTGGTGCACGTACAATATACTATACAGTACGTCTCACTCTGACAACGGAAGGTGAATCTCGTCCTAATGTTCTGTACAAGAATCTCCGCTATTACCAGTATGGGAACATGTGAAATTCTCCACTCTCGAAATGGTCCAGTCCTCCTTGCTCAATACTGTTCTGCAGTCCTTTCTCTGTATATATATATTCCCGTGGGGTCTACATAATACCTGTTGATTGTTCATTGCTCACCCGTACACGCCTCGTAGGCATGAGAAAGGTCTGGCCGCTGGACTTCGCTGCATGATCAGAGTTGGAGTGATATTATTTCATGCATGATAGTCTTCCACAGACCTCGGACTACAGAGGAGTACTTTTTTTATTTACCCCACGTCCTATCCTTGTGCGATGCGGTTTGGGTAGTTTGGGGGAGTGTCTTTGATCAAGATAAGAGATGTTTGATCCATGCTTGAGATGGATCACAAGGAAGGGTCAACACTCTGGCACGGTCACAGAGTTTGCGTGATAGTAATATTCTCACCATTAAGTCCAGACCGCAAAAGGTTTTGGATATGCAGCAGCTGGAGGGCAGAAAGACAGTCCCATGCCAACCATCGTACTCAACGGGATGTTGACTAGCTGTACAGAAACGTGACTTCTCCCATGGTACAGTGGCTTGCATGGAGTCAGCCTTTACAAGTTCGGGGATTTGAAAGCCTTTTCAATGTCTGCACTTTCCGCTGCCCTGAGTCTTACTCAGCTTCTGTACTCAAGGAGACTCGCCGAATACCCATCCCGGAGACCTGTAACTCTGCCCACATCATTTACTATGTCTGAATGAACCACAGCCGCATAACACCAGAATTGCGTCACCGTGCTACAATGTCCACAAACTTCTCTGAAAAGTGTACCCAAAAAGCCTTGTTATGAACACAGGATTTAATAAATCTTCTGTATTTCGATATTTTTGTGCATAAAATCTCAATAGTAAGAGTTTGACTTACATATCTTTATTTATGTCAAGTACTGTGATTTTTGTTTGCAGTCTATAAATTTAAGTGATCAAAAGATTTATTATTTAATTCTAATTTTGAATATTTTATTAACTAGAAACAACTAACTCCTTTCGTTGAGTTGTTCGCAAACTTTTGAGAAAAAAATTCCAGTGAATCTCAACCATCATAAATTTTTATTGAAAAATGGCACCAACTTTTGTAGCTAAAGCATCAATATCCAAATTGATGAGTTGATAAATATAATGCCACATGACAATGGTTGCATGGAAAAATGCATCTTCAATCACTTGAAAAAATGGAAAGAGTAAATGCACACAAATTCATAAAATCAACAAATAAAATAATTCACAAGCATAACGCTAACAGAAATATATGTGATTTGTCATTTTTATATTATGTTCACGGAAACAATAAGATCTTCACAAAAAAACTACAAAATGTTTGATGCTCGAGATGTGACTACTCTACTATATCTACAAGTAGTATAAATCCTAGTTCTAAGCAAAGCTAATAGTGTGAAGTAGGGGCATCTTGAACCTATTTGTTTTGTAGATGCAATTCATGATCAGAGTTGTTCCAAAGTAAAGAGTAAGCTGTATAGCCTTGGTGCTCGTGAAGGCGAGTCGTATTAAGTGACAGCTGGAATCAACACAATGGATGTTGGGTACATTCAGTTCAATCAAGTACAAGAACAAAGCCTCCATTGACATCCGGTTGTCAAGCCGCTCGATTGTGTGTTGCCTCCTCAAGTTGTATATGTCGTGCACAATGACGTGCTTGCTCGAGGGTTCTAAACGTATCAACGTTCGGAACCTGATCCTGACTTATCAACGTCAGGATCAGAGCAGGCGCAACACTAGCGGCGACAAAGTGCGAACGCGTTCTTTTACGTCGTTGATCAATTTGTGGTGAGACGAATATGCAGCCTCACAAATCAATGGCGAATGATTGTGCTCTTTGCATTTCACACTCAACGTTCATTTTCCGACTCGATTACGACGGCCTAGCATAAGAAAAGACAGCCTGTCATGATCGAGCTCGAAAGACATTGGCGTGTATCTTTTGTTAGACCATATCTATCATCGTGTGTATCCCCAATGCAGCAATATGACATCCATCTTGTAATCGGACCACTTGGTGATGACGCTATAGAGATGAGCGGCAGCATGCTATACGCAACCTTCAAGACATCGACATCGTCGTAAGTGGCCTCGGGAGGAGACTTCATGGCCTGGCGGTACAAGTAATGGAGTAAAATCAAAAAGGTGTCGGAAAAAGCACCTTTGAGACAATTGGCAGAGCTCTGCGTCTTTACAAGGAACGGAGAAGGCCTATACACAATGTTTGTAATTGTTCATTACTTAGCAATCAACACGTTTCTATTTTTATCGTTTTCCGCCGTTGAAAAAGTAGAGAGGATGGGAAGAGTAAATGAGCAGGGTGGGAGTATCAACCTCCATAAATGATGTCATAGTGAACTATTTTGATTAATCTATATTCACTAGTGGAGATATTTGAGTTTCATCAGCAATAACCTACTACTCTTATTTCAATTATTTAAAAAATTGCTTCATCTATACCAACACTTTTTATTGTATCAGATCATTATTCACATAATATCAATCTACCTTCCAACATCATCAGTTAGTGAGGATTTGTTCTTGTCAATGTAAGTAGATTGAAAAATCTTTCCCTGTTTCAATGTACTAGATTTAATGAAAGTAACATCATCATTTGAGAACTTCAAGGTTCTAAAACTTTCACTTGCTACCAAGTCAACTTTAGACTTAGTCTAAACTTTAAAATTTTCATAACTTAGTCAAACCAATCAAAATTAACATGTAGTCAAATGTGGTGGAATTTGCACTTCCATTATCATTTCAGCTAAAGTGTCATTTCGCGCATTTTGATTGTACATCGCTTCTCTTTCAATTTAGCTGTAAGCCTCGTGTCACGACTTACATGATGGATGAATTTTTAAATCAAATCGATTCCAACATGCACAAATTTGAACATCGTGTCTTCGACACGCTCTTATACCAATTATTAAACAAAACATGACAATCAACAACAATAACATTACGTGATCCCCCAACTTTAAGCTACGTCCACGGAAACAATAAATTTTTTATAGTTAATTGTTCAAGTTGAGATGTATCTTGCACTTTCTTATATAGGTGCTAGCTGCAAACTTGAATTAATTATAACGGAAATAACTAATCCTAGTTCTGACTCAAGCTAGGATAACTCAATTTTAACTCAAAAATTGAAATAAATCTAACAATAAAATTAATAAAACATAATATTGAATTTTGATATAAGAATTCTTCATCTTGAAGCTCATGAATTTAAGAAAAGAAAAGAAATAATTTGAAAACAATTTATGATGATATTGCTTGGAAAGCTTTACAAACAAATCCTTACAATTTGTATGTCTCTTAGTTTTTTCAGCACTGAAGTTTAAAGTTACATCATTATTATGCTCATTGATTTTTCTTAAAGGTACTTTTCATCTTCTTCATTGATTT